GAATATTCCTATGCACTTGAAAGTCAAATAAATGGGATGGTGACATTTTAAGCTGGCTGAAATCGGAGTTCGAATACTCTTGATTTTAATTTTTGAAACTTCAATTAGATTTTGCCTAGAGATTCATGCTTGATCAAGATAATTATCTAATGAGTGAATAAAGAAAAAGATTTCATTTTTTTGGTTGAACAACCAAATAATATTCTTAGATGTAAGCTTCTCAACTTTCATTTCGAAAATAGGAAGTATGGGCAAACTAATGGGCCTCAAAGATATTTTAATTTGAGGTGAAGATCGAAGCTGCTAATTAATTAATTAAATAATTAAATTGGCTTTTGTTTGTATATTCAATTTTCAGAGTGAGTCAATATACGTTAGAAGATTATTATATTATTAAATAAAAAATTTAAGCTAATGGTTATTGGTGAGTGTCTCTTTCACCACATTAAAAATTTAATTATTATTCTATATGAAATTATCATCAAGTATGATACATAAAAATTTAATAATATATTAAATTTTATATTAAGGCTCCATATAAAGAATATAATAGTATATAATCATTATTATTAATATATTACAATTTTTATTTAATATATTGTTTAATATAACTAGTGAGTCATATCCTGTTAAAATAAAATTTAAATTATGAAATAAGATTCATAATAATTTTAACTAAATGATAAAAAATCATTATTAAAATAACATTAAAAATAAAATTTATGTAAATTGAAATAAAATTATAGTAAGGATTAAATTTTTAGCATTTATATATTTTAACTTTAATTTAAATATTTTTATTTCTCAAATACGGAGATCTTCATTTAAATTTTCATCATCGAATTTGCAGCTATTTCTGGTTAGCTAAGCAAAAATGCGATTTAGCTTTTCAACATGCGATTTAAATTTTCAACGTGCGATTTAAATTTAAAAATTAAAGGATTCAAAAGAATAAGGCGCACATATCTTCTACCCATTTTATATAAAATTTGAAACCCTAAAGAAAGCTTAGCTAAGCAAAAATTTAACCCTAAATCACAGATCTACAATATATTTTAAACATTCGAAGCCTAAATGCATAAATCTATGCTTAGAACAAACAAATCTTCAAATACACTACACAAACAAAGAGTTTCACAAAAAAACCTACAAAACCACTTTGTAAATCACATATATTTACTTCTCTAAGAAAAATAAACAATAATCAACATAAATCTAACTAATTTAACATAAAAAATGCATAAAATAACTTCACATTACCTGATCCGGCGACGAACGGGCGGAGGCGGAGCAGCAAGATCTGGAAATGGCGAAGAGGAGAGTGTCTGATCGGGATCGGGAAAGGGAAAGGCGAATAAATGAGTTAAGCGTAAGTCGCCCCTTAACCCGGCGACTTATAAGTCGCCCGTTACGCGGGCGACTTATACTTAAGTCTGCCTTCGCCACATCAGCTGCCACGCTGTCGTTTGGTCGCACCTAAGTCGCCGTTTAAACGACCGACTTTGCCTATAATTAAAATTTTTTACGATCATGCTTAATCTTATAGTTTAATTATTAATGTTGCTTATTTCGAAAATTTACCCTACGTATTAAGTATCAATAATTGACTATAAGCAAAATTAATTTGAGATTATGTAGACTTTTGAATATCAGACCACATATATGTGTGGTTAATTATGTTGGAATAATAATGAAAATAAATATTAATTACGTGTATTTCTAAATTACAATGTTTTATTATTTTCACGACGAATTGTTGCATGAGAAAGGGCAACAAGTATCGACGGAGCCACTCTCCTATTGAAGCAATTATGAGATACTCTTTGTATTTAAAAATAAATGAAAATATAATTCAATTATAGAGAAAATAATAAAAAATTTAACATAATTAGGA